CGATGAGCTACATCCCCGGCCCTAGTTTTTAGAATATTAGACATTTCTTTTTTGTATGTATTTGGGTGTTTTTATTCTTAAATTCTTTTATTGGTACATTTTGGGTATACAATATGTTTACATTTATCATTGGATGCTTGTACCAGAACATGATGTATCTTGGTTCTTATTTTTTCCCCATTACCTGTGCGCCCTTCATTCCCTCCATCCTTCCCTATTTACATAGAATTTGTTTCCATTTTTTTCTTTTCTCATAATTTTTCCTTTCCCTTCTTGCCTTTCCCCTTCTTATCCCACTTCCCCTACCCCTTTAAGGATTAAAATGATTAAAATGAATAATTGATAATTTGAAATAGGAATAAAAGGACATTTCTTCTTATGACAAGACAAAGCTGAACAAAAGCAAGCCTTACAGCACACCTAACCATATGGAAGTCACAAAGGAAAGCCCTTTACTTGTATTGGTTAATGTAATTCTCACAGACCCCTTGAGAGGTCAAAGTATCCCCAACTCTCCAGATGGAGTCAGTAGAGCTCAGAGAGCCTTAATGTTTTCACTCAAAGTTCAGTGGTGGAGACAGGATTCCAACCCAAGTCTGGCTGGCTGTAATGCCCTGCTGAGTTGACATTTCTCTCTCAAACAAGAAAAATTTCTCTGTGACTTTTCCATTTCAACCTGGTTCCATTGTCACTGGAGAACTTGCTGAAATGAGGCATGCTTTTTAAAGTATCCCCAAGTTCTCCATGCGAGAAAGAATGAGGAGTGTGGAAAGAGGACAGAAGAGAAAAAAGAGAAGGGGCAGAGAGACTGAAGAACTCAACTAACCCAATCTTTCCATGGTTGATCTTGCATTTGTAGGCTGACAGCATTGATCCACTTTTCCTTAATTAGTTGTGCAACCTTTGGATAATAGCAAATGGTGTGCCAATACAGAATTTTTCAATTCTGTGATGCAGTAATTGCTTCAGGCTCATAAAACCACAAATATCCTGCTTTTGGATGAAAAGTGAGCATGTAACCTAGAGAAATGGGAAGAAACACACTGCTGCATGGAAATTCTGCACTGTTCTCAAAATAAACCTCTGCTGCTGTGCTTGCATTTAAGACATTATTTAGGAGGATCTTCAAAACTTCTGAGGTTTTTAATTTTTCTTTCATTATGTGCTGCTATAGTCATACAAAAAATACATGAGACATATGAGTAAGTTATACAGCATAACGACTGAATGAACATTCATGAACCCCAATTAAAAAGCCAATAATTTTAACTCCAACATCGCATCAGCCCTAATACAATGCAAGCTCTGTGAGTGCATGGATTTTTGTCTGTTTTGTTGGCTGTTGTATCCCTCAGGACCTAGACTGGTAACTGTTTGCAGTATTGGCTTAATATTTTTTAAATGAATGCATAAGTCTACTTGTATCTTCCTTTGCCAGATTCAGCCTCCCCTCAGAGCTATCCATTACTCTACATTTGTGTTTATTGTTTCCTTGGATTCGGATAGTTTTTTCACATATATGTTCCTAAATAACTTACTGTTTTTTCTGCTTCTTTTCGAACTTTGTGTAATAGAATTATATGTATGCCTTTGTGAGTTACGTATGTGAACAACATTAACATGTGAGATAAACTTATATATAGCTTTACCCCATTCCTTGTCATTTTTGAATTGTATTTTATTGAATAAATGTGCCATAATTATTTTACTCTTTTTTCTGACAGTGGATGTTTACCATTTTTGATTTTATAGAGAAAATTCCTATGAGCATTCCTGTATGTGCCTCCTGATATATATGTGCATGCTTTGCTCTGAGATACAAACCTGGGAGAGAGATTTCAGCCGTAATTTTCATTTCCAATTCCCAAAGTTTAGCTCATAAGTCAGAACTGCAGTGTGTCTTTTGTCCACACTAAGCCAGGGTCAGTGAAGGTGCTGTCCAAAAAAATATATATATATATAGAGAGAGAGAGACAGACAGACAGACAGACAGACTGAGACAGAGACAGAGTCAGAGACAGAGACAGAGAGAGAGAAACTGGTCAGAAGTTAACTCAGGCCTCTAGTCAATGTAAGGTGTAGTTAGTGAAAGTCCACATTGTGAAATCCCCTTCATTATTTCTCCTCCATTATTCCTTCTTAGTAGTTGTTTTTTTGTAATGTGCACTTTATTAGATTCATATCTAATAAACAAAATGTTGATTATTTTAGTCTTGATTATAAATGTGTTTAGTCTTTTAACTACTTTTAACTGCTTTTAAATTTCAGTATTGATGAAAATATATGTTTCTTTCAAATGATTTTAATAATAATAATATGAGGCTTACCCTCATAAGAAAATTTAATTTGAAATCCTATATTGTGAGATATAGGTACAATTTGCACAGCAGAGCTCTACAATTCACTCATCTTCCTTAAATGAAACTGTATACCTAATGAACAGCAATTCCTCATTCCTATTTCTTAAAGGATCTTTTGTAAAAGAACATCTTATTTACTCTCAGTATGCTTCCATTTTATTTATCTGACATTTATTATATAATCACTTAATAATAATTGTTGTTATCATCATCTTATTTACCTATTTATACCTTATACCTCTCAAAAAATAATCCTGTCTTAGAGGTGTTTCTTCATCATTACAAGTCTGCATTCTGCTTTAATATATCATTTACTATGTTACTTTTTCTTTGCTTCTTGTCTTTCTTCTCTACTAGGTGATGAGATGTGGAGGGGCAAGAAAATCTGGAGCACCACTATATCACTAGAATCTAGTCTGTGCTTTATCCATAAGCCTAGGTGATAAGAGTTTAGTTGAACCAATCTACCTAAATCTCAACCTTCAGTCTCAATGTTTGTCAATGGTTAACAATCTGCACTTTGGAGCCAGACTTACTTAGGATGAAATCCTTGGATTTCCATTTACTAGGCATATGATTTTAGACAAATTTACTTAATTGCTCTGAGCATCAGTTTCCTCTTTTGCAATATGGGAATAATACAGAGCTACCTGGATGATTGCTGGGAAACTAAATGAGATGGTGCATTAAAAATGGCCTGGCATGTGGAGTGCCTAAATACACATCCTCCTGATTTTATTTGAGCCATTTGCATTAGTTAAAGAAGTTTAGAAAGTAGGGAGATGAGGAAGACACTGATAAAAAAAATTGTACCATTTGTCCTTATTTTAGCACTGAGAATGGGGACACAATTTCCATCCTGGGAAATGACATTTTAGCCAAAAGAATGACTTGTTTTGCATTTGGCTGAACTGCATATTGGAAGTGACTTCCTTTTGAATATATGGCCCTGCTAACCTTGATTTGGTGAACAGATTCCTGCTGGCTTTCATGTTAAAGCAGGAAAGGGAAGGCTTATGAGGAGAAAAGCTAGGCCACCATAATCAGCGGCTGGGTTTGCATATCTGCATAACATTTTGAGTGTTTTCTGTTGCACTTGGAATTTGAATAAAGGCTGATAATTGTGTCTTGGAGATGTCCTCATAAAAAATAGCCTGAGGGAAAGCTTTCTTTGCTTACTGCCCTGTCAGATTTGCTCATTGGAGGTTAAGGGGAGGATAACCTTTGATGCTTTTTCTGTATTCTGATGACTGTGCTGAGCATGAAAACCAAAGAGACCTTGGTAGATAGTAAAGATGAGTAATAGAAAGAATGAGGTAAAAGAAACTGTGTTGGACTTTGAGTCAAATAATCCAGGGCTTGGTATCAAATCACCTAGGCTTGTCCCCTCTGAGTCTTACTTTTTCATCTGTACAATGGATATACTGAGAAAATAAGCTTGTCTCACCAAGTTGTTATGACATGTTGAAATAACACAGCACAACAAATAGGCTCCCATTACAGTTTATTTTCCTTCCTTTGTTTTTAAGGAAGATGTACTCATGAAATATAAAAGTTGTATTACTGTGGATGATATTGTGGGCCTTGTTGTCCATCTGAGACAGATTAAGCCATAAGGTCACTTGAGTTTGGGTTATGCTTAGACATAAGACACAGGAAAGACAAAAGTTGACCTTTGGTTAGTAAGACTCATGTGCCATTTCTTCAAACTTGATTTAATTATTATGAGAGATTAAGAATCACCATTTTGTGAAGGTTATAAGATTGGCTTTCTGGCCCCTCCCCTTAAAAACCAACTTGAAGAACTCAGGCACAGACCTTATTGGAGATAGGCAGTGAGACTAGGTGCCTTCTGAAGCTCCATCCTTGCCCAAGGAACGCATGAGTCTTATAATGACCAAATATTTTGATAGCGGCCCAAAAGATGTCTCACATCACTGTATATCATTTCTCAACAAAAGCATCAGTTATAGGGATTCTGCAACCTTATAAAATGTGGGCAAGAGGATGTCCATGTGATCTAGAACAATTTCTAAGGAAAGTGAAGGAATGGGAAAAAAATCAATAAAGACTAGAATGATAATACTTATGTAATAATTATGACACTTTCCTTGTATATTCATCCAAGGACCACTGTCTGATTTATATTGGCACTTACTGTAGCAACTCAGAAGGATGGGTGGTATTATCCCTATTTTACAGATGAAATTTAAGGCTCAAGAACTAAAGAAAAGGACATCAAGCCATTTTGATATTGGTCTGGTTTGGTCATAAATCTCCCTTTGGATGAGGTAAGGTCATAAGGTAGTGTTTCATTACTCTGAAAATGTTGCCTGACCACCACCCTAAGTTAGGTAGTTTAACCACAGATTTCTTGCCTTCATTCTTCCTTCACATAGATAAAGCCTATGAGTTTGGCTACTCTTGGAGAACTTCCCTGATCCTTTGGCAGGATCCAAAAAGTTATGTCCACACTATGGAAAACCCTGCAAAAATCATCCTTAGGAGAAGTCCCAGGAAAATTAGCTTCACATTGACTCACTTGAGCAAAGAATTATAATAATTTATGCATAGAATTTTATTCTACTATTTTTGCCACCCAGTAACATGTGTTGCTTTGTTTTCTATGTGTCTTTCCAGTTTGGAGAATGCCAGGGACCATGTTTTGCCCATCGACTATTACTTTCCACCCCAGAAGACCTGCCTGATCTGTGGGGATGAAGCTTCTGGGTGTCACTATGGAGCTCTCACTTGTGGCAGCTGCAAGGTCTTCTTTAAAAGAGCTGCTGAAGGTAAAAGGGTCTTGTACACTCACTTCTATTTCTCTTTCCTCATTTTCCATCAGAGAGAGATTTGCACCTTCCAGAACCCAAGATTCATGTCAAGAATGGGGTCTTTGGGAGACCCCTCTCATAGGGCTTATAAGCTAAAGAAGAAAAATTTCATACTTGCTGGTCACCTGGTTTTGGCTCCCTGAGATGTACAGGCAATGTAGGCAATAAAGGTGGTCTCATCTGGTGCTTGGTGCTTGGTGGGTCCTAGGAATGAGAGAAAATGATTTGAAAAAAAATAATTTTCTTCCTGCTTGTTTTCTACTCTGCTTCCTATTGAGGGAAAACTTGTTTTTATTAAAGAGGTTAGAAGTTGTAGAAACTCCAACTGAGTCCCTAGTCTGTTCACTGTAGTGAATACAAGATTGTTCCTCAGCAAAGATTTCCTGGCCTCAGTCTGAGAAAGAAAGTGTTCTCATTATTCAGCAGACCATCAGTTTCTGCACCTGCTCCCTCCTGCTGCTGCCTTCCTGGAATTGCTCTTTGCATTAATAGCTCCTAGGTAAGTAAGAACCCAGAATGAAGAAGTTCTTTCATCTTCTTCACCTGAGGCCTAACCCTAGATTGGTCCAGAATCCCAGCTGAGTAACATTTTATATGCAACTAAGCTCCTTAGCTCTATTTAGCTTACAACTCATGCTTGCCCAGCACCTAGAGGTACTCAGCTTATATCCTGTAGCATGAATGCCCATTTCCAGACTTGTTATATATGCTAGTGACTCCTTAACTTCCTAACCACTTTGGGCTTAAGCATTACATTAATCCACTTCGCTCCCCTCCCTCTACTAAGGGCTTCTTTCTCAAAGGGATACATTAATGATCAACTCCTAAACAGAGATACTCTGCCATGGAACACCACCAGTTGTTAAACACAAATATGCACCCCTGCTCCCACCTCCCACAAGGAGATACTTTCTACTAAGTCCTTTTTCCTTCCTTCTCCTTGGTCTGGAACAATGGAGTACTAGTTAGAAGCAAAACAGAGAGCCTTTCCTTATGTAAGGACCAAAAACCATGAGAACCATTTTAAAAGACATAAATGTAGGCTACACCTTTCACCAGGAATATGTTGATACCCACTAGAGGACAGCAGAAGTGTCAGTGATTTCTTGGCATTGAGAGAAAAGGTAGAAAGTGGGTGCCCTTTAACTGGTCTCTTTCCTGATAGCCAATCATAAAGATTATTTTACTTTCATCATTTCAGCTGAGTTGCAGGAATATATATATATATATATATATATATATATATATATAAAACAGAAAACTGTCATTATGGTTTTTTCCCATTCCTCAAAGCCATAACAAGGAAACTAGCATTTTGTGTAATACTGAAAACATGCTGCATATTCCACTGTACCCCTAAACACCCCATAACTGCTGTTCATCCTAGGCTAGTGTGAGGTTCATGACCCCAGTGCCTAGGCTAGGCTGATTAGAAAAACCTGAGAACAGTGTACTTCTTAATAGTATTTATGAAAGGATGGCTATCAGAAAAGGCAGTAAGGAGAAACTCCATGGACTTCAGATCACCCCAACTTCTCCAGTGAGACATTGATAGTTTTCCATATCCCATCATCACACAGACCCTGTCTCTAGAACAAGGAATGAACCAGAGCAGCTCTCTAGAGCTAATGTGTCAGCAAGCCTCGCACCGTGGTAATAGTCATATCAGATAGGGAGTAAGTTCAGGCTAGCAAGTGAGCAGGCAAATTTAATAGTCAGATCAGATTATACTTGATGCTGCCTCTGGGTTTTAGAGATCTAGGTCACCAAATTGTTTTCAGAAAATAGAAGAAATGGCCAACCATATTGTGAAGGAGATTTTGCTGTCATTTTATATGTTCTACATGGGAGCTTTCTGCAGAAGTTAGGACTGAAGGAAGGAGGTAGGCAGAAGGGACCTTGCAGTGCTGCCTGGCAGGAGCTGTACTATAACATGGATCCTGGGCACTATGATAACAGGGAAGGAAAAAGATGAGGTACTGGGGTGGAGAAGATCACCCAACTTAGAGAGAGCACTTAGAAATCCAGTGAGGTCTCAAAATGCTTCAGACCCATGAGTCACTTATATTAGGGAAACTTAGTAATATATTTTTTTGAGAAAATGACCTTCTGTGAGCTCATAAAACTAAAATAATCAATGGACTCCTTGCAAAGCCATGGAGGGGAAACCTTCTGAGTCCCTTGGTTACATTGGAGTATGGAATCGAGATACCAGTTCTGAACCCTTTGAAGGACATGAGAAGGCAGGTCATAACACACACACACACACACACACACACACACACACACACAAAGAAAAAAAATTATTGGCTTTTCTTTCTCCTCCCATCTGTAAAGGTTGGTGGCTTGAGTGTGCTGCCATTATTATCCCTTTTGAAGTCAGAAGGCTGTCTTATGTCTCAAAAAGAACATTTATTGATTTTTCCCATTTCTACAATGCATCTTTATTACCCAAATATTCTTTCTAAAGCAGTGCCTTTTTAAAACTTGAAATTCTACCTGTTTTGGAGAGAGCAGAAGCACAAATCTTTCTCTTCTCCAGTTGTTCATTCTTGTCAGTTAACTCAAACTGAGTATTTGGAGTGTTGGTTATCACTTTAGTCACAGTTTTCATAAATTTCTGGAATGGGCACAAGTACAAGAGTTAAAAGCCTGGCATGTCATACAAAAATTCATTTCTAGCTTTGGTTCATAAAGTATGAAGCTTTAATGCTGTCACTGGTGGAAGATTCTATACAGAATCAATTGTAATCTGGCCATATTTTCTTGCTGGGGTTGTATAGGAGGAGACAGCTCTGCATTTTCTCATTGTTAGTAATACTAGGGGTTGGGATGAGAGTGAGGCTGGGCAGAGAAGGATCTGCACATTTTTGATGGAAGAAATAATGGTAATAGACCATAGAGTAAAATTACTAAAATTTAGTTGAAGAAAACTCAGTGAAAGAGTGTGTATGTCAGGCTGTGTGTGGGTATGGGCTGTGAGCCAAAACCCAAAAACCGGCATGACTAGACAAGCTGGTCTGTGGGTAGGATAAGTGGTTAAATGAAGAGGAAGGCACATTGCATATTAAGAGGCCAGGAAACCAAAGGAAGGCGATGCCTGCATTTATGCAGAGGCTCAGAGAAGTTTAATTGTGTAGCTTTAAATAAGAAATTTTCTTATTTAGATCATAGTTTTCTGTTTGTAAAATAAGGGAGTTTAATTACATGTTCTTAAAAAGGCCTTCCAGCTTGGACTTTTTGTGACAATTCTACAAATTAAAAACATCATCACCATTATTTCAGCAAAGAAACACACCTTTATACCTGTGTGCCCTTCTGGTTTTGCCTTCCTGTTAGATGGTAAGTCCTAGATCCTAATGAGTAAAAAAAATCAGTCTTCAGATGGAGTCAGATCCAGCTGACAGAGTGCACTCTTGATGGGCTAAATTAAAACCCAGGACTCTGAGATTCTCTCCCTTGTGGCCATGGCCGAGTAACTCATTTCTTTTCCATTTTCTCATCTGGAAAATCAGGATATGAATAGCCATTATCCCTCATCATGTTTCAAAGAGGGTTAATTAATTCATCATGTGCATTATGTGCTCAAGAATTTACTATTTTTCAAATGTTTTCTAGTAAAAACTTTGGAGATTATACATCCATTTGTTTTGTACACATGGAGCACTGTTTGGTACACATCATAAAATTGAAACTGTAGTTTACATTCTGAACTCAAAGAATTACACCATCCTCCCTGATGTTTACAATAGGTCCCAATTTAGTTTCCTTGGCAAATTTTATGTAAGTATGACTTTGATTCTGTCTCTTGCCCAAGGTTTTTGTGAGGGAAGAATTGCAAGTTAACCCATATTGAACTCTTTCTGTCTTTTAAATCCACTCTTTTCCACCTCTGCTCATGTAGAATTGAATTCTTTTTACTTGGAATCTTTCAGAGAGTTTTTGGTGTATTTCAGTGTTCCCTTCACCCTCTGACTTGTTGAGTAACATTTCCGAGGAGCAAATTTACTCCACCAGGAAGATCTTCTTATGGCTTCAAAAAAAGCTTGATCAGATATCTTTGTCCAAGGAATTGACTGATCCTGACTTTGTAAGTCCCAGAAATCTTTTCCCAAAGCTCTTCTTATCTTTCTGTATCTTATTTCTTTAAATGTCACAGCCAGAGTTTAGAGAAAAAGTTAATAAATAATATTTATAAAATGCCAGGAAATAAATATTGTAAGCTTTGCAGGTCATATGGTCTCTGTCTCAGCTACTCAACTGTGCCTTTGCAATGTGAAAGCAGTCATAGACAACTCACAAAGTAGTGGGTATAGGTGTGTTCCAATAAAACTTTATAGGCAAAGCTGGGGATTTAGCTCAGTGGTTTCAGAGCCTGCCTCACAAGCGCAAGGTCCCGAGTTCGATCCCCGGTACCAAAACAAACAAACAAACAAACAAACAAAAAAAACCACTTTATAGGCACTGAAATTTGAATTTCATTCAATTTTCACATCCATTAAATACTATTTTTCTTTCGACTTTTTCAACCATTAAAAATTGTAAGCTAGGGCCGGGAATTTAGCTCAGTGGTTCCACTGCCTGCCTCACAAGTACAAGGTCCCAAGTTCGATCCCTGGTACCAAAAAAAAAGAGAAATTGTAAGCTAATAGTGGTGATGCTTGTCTGGAATCCCAGAACTCTAGGAGGTTGAGGAAGGAGAATCACAAGATCAAGGCCAGCCTGGGCAACTTAGCAATTTATGAAGACCCTGCCTCAAAATCAGAAATAAAAAAAGAGCTGGAGATTATCTCTGTACAGATGCCCTGGATTCAATCCCCATTTTCAAAAAAGGTGAATATTAATTGTTCAGGCATCAAAAAAATTTCACACCTCACAAAAACAGATGTAAGACTAGATTTAATTGGTGGGCTATAGGTTGTTGACCCCTGCTTCTCATAGTCACTCTTATGCTTCCA